CACACACACACACACACACACACACACACACACACACACACACACACACACACACACAGGCAAACAACCAGACACATTTGATGCTGTGTACCCCACAATGAACCCTGGCTCCTAAGATGAATGGGGTTCCCACGCCTCTCCCAAGGAGTGCAGGGCACAGCCTCCTCCTCTGAGCATTCACACACACACACACACACACACACACACACACACACACACACACACACACACAATGCACTACAGTTGGCCACACAGTCTCCCTCAAACATACACACAGGTGCATTTCAGTAAAATACAAAGGCACACGCATAGTAAAATAGCATAATGACCCATTTTTAAAAACTACAAGTATACATACTTTAATTACTTACTTTGTGGTGTAAAAATAAATAAATAATATGATGGAAGTGTCAGTTTTATAGATGGAGTCAGTTTGGTATGAAGACGACTTAATTTGTATAGCAGCAAAGCAGAAATGAGACGTGAGAACACACAGATTGTTTTTAGTTTCAGTTACACTTCTTTTTGTTTCAATCCCTGTTTGTGTGTATGTGTGTGTGAGAGTATGTTGTTCATGAAGTGTTTTTATTTCAGGGAAGGTTTTAGATGAATTTGATTTTCATGGGAGATTCCAGCTTTTTATTTTCTGAAGGTGTAGCAAAACAGTCCTTGAGAAAGAGTGTGTGTGTGTGTGTGTGTGTGTGTGTGTGTGTGTGTGTGTGTGTGTGTGTGTGTGTGTGTGTGTGTGTGTGTGTGTGTGTGTTTACTATATTAGTACACAATTTAGTTTATTAAGTGAAAAATAATTATTTTGTTGTATTTGTTTTTTTTAATCGTTGGATAACTCTAGTGTAGTTTTTAAAAGACTTGAAATTTTTTTTTGGTGTTTTCGTTTTCTTATGAGAAATACATTTGTAATTCACTGATGTATATAAACATTTAAATATGTAATTGCTTTACATTTTTGTAAATGTACTTTACAGTTGGCATTTATTATTTCTCTAATATGTTTTAAGGATACTGTGTGTGTGTGTGTGTGTGTGTGTGTGTGTGTGTGTGTGTGTGTGTGTGTGATAGAGAGAGAGAGAGAGAGAGTGAAACAGAGGATGGTGTCCATATTATTTATTTATGTCAGGCTTAAAATGTAGATTTAAAATTAATTGTTAACATAAAAAAATATTTTACCTATAATATTTAATTTTCTGCTTTTTGTTTTTGTTTCTAATTGTTCAGTTACTGTCGTTTATATTTAAATATTAATATAAGCACTTTAAAAAATTCCACATTTTGTTTAATAAAAAGTAATATTGGACCAAAATAAAGACGTACGAATGCCTAAAAGAAATGCCGAAAACAAACCAAAAAAAAGGCTAAAGGCTAATTTGTCTTTCTCTGGACCTACAGTAATCTAAGTTCCTGTAGTAATTTCCTGGAGTTAGTACCTTTTTGAGAGATGAATCTAAGCTGCACTGGCAGTGAATGGTAATGCAGTTATCCCGTCTAAATTCAGCTACAGTATTCTGAGCTATGATCACTCTAACATATGCTACATCAGCCTTAATGATACACTTAAGTAACTGCTTGGCAGGTTTATGACCTGAGCGATACATGGACACCTTGCCGAGTGTGTGTGCACATGTGTGTGTTTTGTGAATAAATTTTAACAATGCTGCACGCACAGACATGTGTAACTATAATTATCTGTTTTTCGCTTTCATTTGCAGAGTCATTACTTGGGAGTGACTTTATTTTTCCGTGCCAGACATTGATATCAAGGTTAGTCTAACATTTTTATTAATTTTCTTTAAAATTATATTCTTGTTATTGAATCCGTGTATGTTTTTGTAGCACTTTTGGTGTATATAGCAGCACCTATTTTGTGTGTGTACATGCCCGGACAGTCAAAAATCATTCGGGACTGCTTTCCATGATATAAGCACACAGCTCAGCGGCCGCGGTTTGTTGTTAGTTTATCAAACACAACCGTCTCCAGCACACACCAGCGGCTGTAGCATCGTGTGATGCGTTTTGTCAAAACTCGTATCGGTGCGTTGTGTCATCTGAAACGGTAAGTCTGTGCTGCAGCTCAAAGATAATCTCCTCAAAGGAAATTAGTCAGGAAAAATGGGACAGAAGAGCCGTCAGCCTAAAGGTCAAATGAAGATTAGAGAGAAACAGTACACGAGGGCACACCGGCTGGCACCCCGGAATTACACAAAGGCCTCATTGTCACAGGAGCCCCCGGGTCTGCGCACTCTCTCCCAGCATACTTAGGGAGACATGACACCTGTTGGTGGTTTTGATCAACTGCATGCAGAGCGACAGGACACCTCACACTTAAGATTTTTCTGATATTAAAAGACGACTTTGAGTCGCATACACGTCTAGAACATTTTCGGATCGGCGCTCTTCTGCACAAACACACTCACGGGTTTGGTTCAGGCTCGACTTTTTATCTCACGTCAATTTCAGGCTTTCCGGCGGCACGGCTGACCGTGTGCCGTTAAATCAAAACGACAAATGAAAAAACAGCAAGCGGTGAAAAAAGCAATTACTCTTGATTTATATTTGCTGATTATTGTATCCCTCCAGACACACCGGCTCCACTCACTTCAAAGGGTGAATTGGTTAATCTCAAATAATTGTGAAGCTCAGTCCTGACAGTTTTACAGTTTATGGCACTGTGTATTCAAAATGTTGGATGAATGTATTTTTGGAAAGTTGTTTGCAAGTTCATGCCTAGATCGAGGATCTCACTTGCGCCTCTCTTTAGTAGTAAAACAGTTGTGTTATCAAAAATGTTTTAATCACATTTAACAAACAATTATATTTTAATGAAATGCATTAACTAAAGAAAAGTGTTAATGTAATGCTTTTGGGCAATGTTAAAAGGTTTTTTGACCCAAAATTACAAAAGAAATGAAGATTTTTGACTGATCTTGTGTTTTTAGGGTTAACGTTTTTGTGCTTTGCTTTCTGTCTCCACCCACTTCCAGTAGAGATGAATAAAATTCTGCTTGTTTATAGTATTTAATAACTTTTATTAAAAGCAGTCCTATGTATTCCAAAAAAAGTCATCCTTTTCACTCTGGATAATTTAATAATTTTTTTTACGTAACATTTCTGAGTAAAATCAAAAGACATTTAACTGTGGTTAGAAATCTCAGTGACACATGCATAAAAACGTTGGTTCAGCAGAAGTAAACTGGAAAATACATTTGTCATAATTTACCTGGAATGACCCTTTAAGTAAAAGGGCCTCTCTTGTGTAAACCCGATACCCTGCATACACGCATTAGCAGTGCAAGTGAAACAGAGCTGCACACACAGTCAGGCCTACTTATACCTCACAGGGTTGGACAGTAAGTAGCTCATATAGAGATTTGTGTGGCATTTATGGGATAAACGACCTGCAATAAAACAGCCACAAACTGGTGCGTGCACGTGAAGAGTTAAGGCAGTGACTCACTTTTATAAGTTTGACCCCCACCTCGCGCCCTCACGCCTCTCCCCTCCCCTCCGTCGCTCCCCAATTCGAGGGGGAAACCGCAGCAGAGCCGCAGCCTCTCCTGTCTCACTCAGGAAACTCCCTGAAACAACCACAACCTCGTCTGCTCGACCTTTCAGGCCAACACACACTCTGACATACAAATCTGCTCATTTGCAGCGAGGTTTCCTGCGACACACACACAGATGGGTTTACCATGAAGCACAACACACGACTTCAGAGTTTTGGAGTCACTTTTAATGGTGTGACTGTGTGTGTGTTCCTCTAATAAACTGCCAGGTAGCAATACAGAGAGATGCAACAGGATAGTCATGAATAATACAGCCACAGGATACTTGCACTCTCTACACATTCACATGCAGACATGCAAGCACCTGCAGTCGTGTGTTTGACATGTGGATGACATGTGTGAACCCGCTGATATAGGTGCTCTGTTGTTTTCTGATGCTCCTGTGTTAGACAAGAAGTGAAAGTCTGACCTTTGAACAGAGAAGCGCAGCTCACTCTCTCCTCTCGTTTGTCAGCATCGAGACGAGGAAACCTGAGAGGAGGCGAGTTGACAGACCGCACAGACCTGCTCAGGGAAGATGACCTGCCAAGCTCAAGTGACATGCAGAGGAAGTGTTTTGAGTGTATTTTGTTTTGTTTTTTAATTACCACACATTTCGCATATTAAGCCTCTCCTTTAAATGTATTAAAAAAAAAAAGGAACCTCATGATCAGCTGGGGCCTTTCTGCATGGATGTCCTCCATATGCCTGTGTGGGTTTTTCTGGGTACTTTCCTCCCACAGTGCATCTTAAGTTGGGTAAATAGTGATTATAAATGTGTCTGTGGATGTGATTGTGAGATGTTGTTGTGTGTCTGCGTGTGTTAAACCTCTGATAGATTGGCAGCTGGGTCAGGATTTAACAAGTTTAGAAAAAAAAACAAAAAACGGATTGAACAAAACAGAAATAAAAATGTTTAATTTCTTAAAATGTAAAACAAGCACTTTTTTGGACATGCAGTGTTTTATCTGTGAATTAAGTAAGTTTAAGTGCTGCTTCATGATGATGTTTTGCTAAGACTACAGAACTGCCTTTATTTAAAATTTTAAACATTTAATTACGTTACCGTTTTCACATGACATTGAATATAGCTGCCTACATTACACACAGTACAATACACTAACAGTACAAGCACACAGAAGTTCAGCTTTGACCTTTGGAACGATGACAAAATCAACTTTATGAAGATCCACCTGTTTTTTCTGCCTTTAATTGGATGCTATGGTTTTTATCGGCACATTTGTGATGCTGTTGTTTTATTACATTGAATTGTGGTTGAATTTTACACACTTAACTCCACCCATTACAGCTTATCTGTAGTTAGTTTTTTTTTTTTTTTTTAAGTATTGTCCTAATTTCACAAAGGTCAGTTGTCATTGAGTTTCTGTTCCCACAGGTCGACTGGGTGCGACTGGAGAGCCGTGCGAGAGTTAAACTGTCCTTTGGGGTGAGGTAGTAGGTTGTATAGTTTTAGGGTCATTCCCAAGCTGTCAGATGACTATACAACTTACTGTCTTTCCTGAAGCGGCTGTAATAACATCATCTTCATCATCGTACCCACAAGAGGATAAGAAGCATGACTTTTGAATTTGGACTCGTTTGTTTGTTTAACCTAAAATAATATGCAGATTTTTGTGGGAAATTGTTCTCTTTTTATTGATGCCTGTTGTTGTTATTTTTTATTATTTTTTAAAAAAGGTAAGTTCTGCTAGTCTGAAGTTGTAACCAGTGAAGCTTGTTCTCACAGCGTGTAGTAAATTTAGCAAAGTAATGTGAAATCTAGCCACTTTTACTTTTGCAGCTTTTTCATGTAACTTTTCCTGCAAGTGCATCCTTTTATGTGCAGCATGTAACATTTCAACTGACATTATCATGGCAATCCTCATTGCAATAATAAATAACAAAGTTGCTTTCAGTTTCATTTATGCAGCGATGCGGCTCGCGCACAAATCCTCTCCGTACCCGCCTGGGTGCTTTATGATGTTCGTACAGGGTGAGGTAGTAGGTTGTGTGGTTTCAGGGTTGTGATTTTACCCCATCAGGAGCTAACTATACAACCTACTGCCTTCCCTGGAGGGCAGCAATACATCACAGGAGCGCACGCATCTTTGTCATTTTCCCTGCCTCTGAAAAATGGGACAGTCTCTTTTACAAAGGCCCACAAAAGACTGCCATTCGATCTCAAGGGTTCACGTGTATGGGTGAGTGGCGCTCACTCACACGACGCATTTCAGAGAGACAATCACTTTACACATTTGTAACTCGCACTGGGAAGATGGCATAAAAAAGGCATTTATTTAATTTTATTAGCATTCATGTTTTAATACTGCTTGTACTTTTCCCTCAGTAATTAAATAAAGACTGGACAAGAAATAATTGCTGAGCAAATAATGGCTGAAGTCTGATCTTTGTGCTGATAACAACTGTGCAACAGTAGAGTCTCCCTAGATGGGATATTTTCTTCGAAATGCTGCTTTAGTCTCTAATCCCTTTAAGGAGCTCATAATGCCCTGAAATTCTAATCCCCAAAGCCTCTGTGTCTGAGGAACATGTATCTTTTTATCTGTCTAGAAAAGTCTCCTAAAAAGCATGCATCATTTCTCTTTTGTTCTTTAAAACAAAAATCAATTGCATGGGATTTCTTCCAATTAAGATGTTAATACTGTGCAAGATTAAAGGCAAGTAAAACTCCAGAAAACAATTGAAGGTAGAGCAAACAGCCAAGAGTCATGCTGTTTTATGAAACCACACGTAGGAGTGCAGCTTTTGCTTTGAGTTTTCAAGCGACATCCCTGACCAAAGCTGATTCTGTAGCTCGCTGCTTAAAAACCATTTCGTATTCAGAAAAAATGAGCTTGTGTTTCCATCCCAGATGGAACGGGAGACCAGGTGCCGAGGTAAAACCAAAGAAAATCATAAATTATCACCCTGCCATTTGTTTGTGGGAGAACACGCTGAGCCACCATGAGGGGTTTTTATCGTCTACACTTACTGTGCAGGTCCACAGGAAAATATGACAGCCAAAATATCCTATTGTCATGCGTCATTTCACAGTAGATGGCGCCAGATATTAAATGCGGTGTTGTTGCTTTGCTGGAGACAATCGCAGTCTACACTAATTTGTTAGATGTACTTTAAGACCGGCTATAAATTTCTAAGGAGTTGGTACAGAATGAGGGTGTCCTGCTGACCTACATGTAGGAGGTCCAGGCAGGAAAGGAGGGCTGCTTTCTAACCTTACAGCAGCACTGACACAACATCGTGCTTATGGTTGAAATAAAGTTAATTTTGCCACAGGTCAAGTATGTGTTCCATAGGGTCACAGTTAAATATCAAAAATCTTCCAAGTGTACACCATCAAATAAAAAACACCAGCTGGTAGCCACAGTATGAAGTGCCATTAGCACTAAATTGTGAAGGGAGGCTTTTTGGAGCAACCGTTTTAAAAGCAAGTACACACGCCTACCTTATTCATGCTATTAAATGTGTTTTAAAGAAGATGGGGATTTTTTAAGGTGTAAATAAAAGGCAAACACCTGAAAGATGCCCATGATTTGTATCCCAGTGTGTGGCTTAGTAGGTAGAATGCCATTCAAACACTCAGACAGTTGTTATTTGGATTGCAACTGCAAATTAGGCTGACACTAAAATGACCTTCACTTTCTTACTGCTTAACTGTGAGCAGCATAACACCAAGAGACAGACTTATTTGTCATTTCCCAGCAATACTTGGACACAACACATATCTCTGATTGTCACCTGAAATGTGTGGCTTCACACAAATGCTACAATAGAGCAATTTTTACACTAATGAACAAAAAGCTGTGAAAGAGAAGGTTTGGAATTAGAAGCAAAAGTTCATTCAGCTAGTTTGATTGTTTTAAATTGGTGGTGGGTGGGGTGAACCTTTAGACAAATTACCAAAAAAAGCAATGAGTCATCAATTTGCATATATGTGTTTTGCTACATCGAGCATGTCATGTATCAAATATTATATACTTGGCCTTAAAGGGTTTGTAAGGTTAAGTCATGGGTGTCAAAAATCATTTTACACTGTAGGCCACATATATCCCACTTTAGAGGGTAAGTGGGTCAGACCAGTGGAACTCCATGCCAGTGTAAAGAAGTTAAACCATGAACTAAATGCCACAGATTTCAACAGTACGTCTCAGTTTTTCTACACAATAAAGAAATGCTGCTGAAAATGGAAGAAATCTGTCAGCACGACTCTGTAAGTAACAGACTGGTAAAATTACAGTTGAAAATGGCTCGTTGCACACACTGTACTATAGTAATAATACTTCAAAAAAATATATATATATATGCAGTGGATCCACTATAAAAAAAAATCTTCCTATTATGGATAATAAACAAAACAGGAACGTTTCTGTCATTGAATTCATTCTGATATTTGTTCATTAAAAATAGAAAACATAGAAAAAACAGAAAAATACTGTTAGAAGTCCCTTCACATTTTTCACTGCTGTCCAGTGGGCCAGGTTGGAGTTTTTGGCGGGCCGAGTTTGGCCCCTGAACCTCATGTTTGACACACTCACTGATACAGTAATTAGCCTGCAAATATAAATATTTACTAACTAAATTACAACCATCTTGAGTATTTTGTAAGGTCCTTAAAGATGAAACGTGACCACTGTTAACTGCAGTACAATACGTCATAATAGTGTCACAAAAATATCCATTTGATACTTGCAGGATATTTGAAAAGCACACACTGCTTACAGCGAGATTATCACCAGACTGCCTGCCAGCGGGCAGGTCACTGGAAAAGCTGTCGTTTTATTGAGCATTCACGTAATTATTACTCGATAGTATGACGCTGCTGACGTTTTAATTACAGGAAGTGGTTTTGGAGGCGATCGGATGGCATTAATCTTACAGGCCCAGGCAGAGAGATCCAGTCGCCCTTCACCGGGTACAGATAAAGGAGACAATGCGCCTCCACACCGGTTCATCCTGCACCGAGCCACCAAGAAGGGATTGTGTCTTACCGAACACCCCCCCCCCCCCCGCACACAATTCTCGTGTTCCGATTGGTTGAAACCATAGGTGTGTCAGGAGGTGTGTGCGCCATGTTGCGGTCCCTCTCTACGTTATTTCCTGCTGAGGATGACGTTTTTGACGGCAGGGAGGGAGGCAGCAGAGCCGATCAGCAGGCGCATCCGTGAGCGTCCCAGGCCCGAAGCAGCTCTCTCCTCCTCCTCCTCCTCTGATAAAGCACAGGCGTCCATTCCGGCAGCGAGAGCTTGAAATGCTCCGGATAGCAGACTCCGAGCTGAGGTATTTACCAACATTTATTTCTATAATGTTATGTAACTGTGTAAGAAGCTCTCTGTGCAGTTGCCTGTTGATTCAACAAACTTTGTTATTCAATCGCGCAGAAAGTATAAGTGAAGTGGACACTGGGGCTAACTTTGTATCTCTTTTCTCTTAAAACACACACACAGCCACACACACACACACACACACACACACACACACACACACACACACACACACACACACACACACACACTTGTCTTTAGTGAGCTGTGTTGCGAGTGAGCTCTAGATAAACTTCCTTTAAGTCATGTCTTCATCTGTTGTGACTAAACCGCAGACGCACACTGGAAGGCACGCTTCCCCCTGCAGCCCCAGATATGCTTCTATGTCACACTCTGTGCAGCAATGCAAAGAGATACTTTGATGATGCAAGACTGATGTGGCTTTTACGTTTACTCTGTGCCTGATTTTTAAATTTATTTTTTCAATCTGTGGCCAGTGGATGACCTTGTTTTCGAAAAGTCCAAACAGCCGATCCAGATTCAGCACTGACAAATGTGAGCTGTTGCTTTTTTTTTTTTTAATTAACAAAGGCTAAGAAAGGATGTGCAACTTT